GTCCCTGTCTGCGGGAAGGGGGTCCTGCGGGGGCACGGGGAGAACGGGGCATGCCTGGGTGGAGCAGCCAAGCGTTGCCAGAGGGAAAGGGCAGCAGAGGACAGCCCTGCGGCGTGGCACATCCCCAGCATTAGCAGTAAGCAAGGAAAGTTAATCCCGGGCCCCAGCGTGCTCCCGATGGGAGTTAACAAAGCCCTGCAGCTGGAGCCAGGCACCGCTGTGCAGAGCTGCTGGGGACGGGGCTCAGTACGGTGCAGGCAGGGGACAGGCAGAACTTGGGTGCCCATGGAGGGGGAGGGGGGTGCCCAGGCCGGGGAAGCTGCCAGAGCCTGGGAGGCAGGGGCAGCAGCCCTGCTCTGGTGGGGTGAGCAGAGCCTGGGGACAGCAGAGCCCCACTGGGCTGGAGAGGCTCACCGGGACATGCAGCAGTTGGCCTGTGTATGGAGAAGGGGTAAAGAAAAGAGATGCAGACCAGCAGTTTCACAGGGAGCGTTCCCCTCCTTTAATCCTCTCGCCAGAACACAGCAGTAGAGCAGCTGCAGGGGTTCATGCCGCGCTGGATGCTCTTTCGGGGTGCACCTGCTGCACCGCAGACCTGGGCATGCCCCTTACCCCATGCTGTGGCCACAGGGACAGGGGTGCCAGGCTGCTCCCACTGTTTCAACATTCTCCTTACAGACAAGCTCTCCTACTCTCGCGCTGCACGTGGGGAGAAGACCTGGCAGCCATAGATCTTTTCCTGCTTGGGATAAATCTGCTCCCCTGGACAGATTAGGATGCAACATGGGACCATATAGCACATGAGGAAGCTGTACCCACCCCCAGCTGGAGCAGAGACTGGGGTGGTACGTGTGCCACGGCCCCAGACAGCAGACATGGGGGCTCTTACCTATGTGGGGAGCAAGCTGTAGCTGTAGCAGAGCACTGGGAAGAAGCACATCAGCACCAGTAACAGAGCTGGGGCACTCACCACACACCCGACCTGGCAAGGGACCGATACAGCTGGGGGCTTAGTGGGAGACACGGAGGCTCTGAAACGGTTTATTGCAAAGGGCTTCTGCGGTAACGCGGGGAAGGAGCACGGTCCTTGTTGGCAGGGGCTTCTCTACTCCTCGCCCTCCTCTTCATCCTCGTAGGAGTCCAGGCCCACCTCCTCGTAATCCTTCTCCAGAGCGGCCATGTCTTCCCGCGCCTCAGAGAACTCCCCCTCCTCCATGCCCTCGCCCACGTACCAGTGCACGAAGGCTCGCTTGGCGTACATCAGGTCGAACTTGTGGTCCAGGCGGGCCCAGGCCTCGGCGATGGCCGTGGTGTTGCTCAGCATGCAGACGGCGCGCTGCACCTTGGCCAGGTCCCCCCCCGGCACCACTGTGGGTGGCTGGTAGTTGATGCCCACCTTGAAGCCCGTGGGGCACCAGTCCACAAACTGGATGCTGCGCTTGGTATTGATGGTGGCGCTGGCGGCGGTGACATCCTTGGCAGCAGGCCATGTACTTGCCGGGGCGAGGGTCGCACTTCACCATCTGGTTGGCCGGCTCAAAGCAGGAGTTGGTGATCTCAGCCACGGACAGCTGCTCGTGATAGGCCTTCTCTGCAGAGATGACAGGGGCGTAGGTGGCCAGGGGGAAATGGA